CCGAGGAATGTCAAGGGGTTTTAATTAGACCAGCTTTTCAAGAAGATTGCACCTTTCTGAAAGGCAGTGTGGTGTAGTGGTTAAGACTGGGAGACTCTGATCTGGAGCACCGGGTTTGATTCCCCACTCCTCCTCCACAGGAAGCCTACTGGGTGACCTTGGGCCAGTCGCAGTCCTCTCAGAACTCTCTCCGCCCCATCTACCAAGTACCAACCCTACTTAACTTCTGAGATCAGATTAAATTGGGCTGTACCGTCCCACCGTCCCTCCCAGTAGTGTATATAATCATAATAAAACATCCTTCTATGCTTGGTCTTCAGCCATTATCAGGGCAGCAGCCATTGCTGGAGAGCCAATGTGGTGTAGTGGTTAAGTGTTGTGGGCTCTGTAGAACTGGGTTCGATCCCCCATTGATCCCTCACATATAGCCTGATGGGTGACGTCGGGCCTGTTCTCTCAGAAGGTGGCTGTTGTGAGGAGAGGACACTTTGGGATTCCCCTCAGGTAGAGGAAAAGGTAAAGGTAAAGGTTCCCTTGCTCGAAAGCCAGTCGAGTCCGACTCTAGGGTTGCGGTGCTCATCTCCGTTTCAAAGCCGAAGAGCCAGCGCTGTCCGAAGACGTTTCCCGTGGTCATGTGGCCGGCATGACTAAACACCGAGGCACACGGAACGCAGGTAGAGGAAAGGGGTATATAAAAACCAAGTCTTCTTCGTAGTGGTTAAAGTATTGGACCCCCACACTGCTATGGAAGCACAGTGAGTGACCGGGGGCTGGTCACACACCTTCAGCCTAACATGCCTCACAGGATAACTGAGAATAAAACAGAGAAGACCAGAGTGATGTAAACTGCTTTTGGGTTCCCAGACCCAAAACAAACATTGCTGCTCAACCTGTGTTCATCTGCTTCTCATCAGCAGTAAGCATCCTGATAGGAGCCTTGGACTGGTGAAGAAATTATCTATATAATATGCAAACTCAGTCAGGTCTGGGATTAGAATTGCTACCAAATTACAACTGAAGTGCAATTTCTGGGCAGATTTGGAGGATTTTTGCTCAGGAAGAGCATCTGAGGAATTTTGAGGGAAACAAAGGGGAATTTCACATTACCCAGTTTCACTCGGTTTCAAGCTGGTAATGATCCGTTTTGAAGTGAACCGGTATAGGGCTGCATGGCTTTCCCCTGCCAGTAAAGAGCTGGATCTGAAGCGGTTTGCCATTTCAGAATGCACCGCTTTTCCCCGCTTTTCCCCTACCGTTTTTCGCCCGTGCGGGCTATCTCCAGCTTTTTTTAAAAAATGTTCGCTTTAGAGCGCTATAGCAGTATAACAAAACACTCCATGCAGTCCAATAGGATTTATATAATGCTATTCCGTTATAGCATTATAGCGCTATAAAACAAACGTTCCACACAAAAAAGCCGGAGACGCCCGCGCGGGCGAAAAACGGCGGGAAAAAGCGCATCGGAACCGGGAGAGGAAACTGAGGAGTACTTGGAAGTGGTTGACAGGTAAAACGCTTCAGCCCCGTTTCCTAAACGGGACAGAAGCGATTGTGTATAAAATGACAAATATATTCTGGAACGGATATGAAATGACAGACCAGAAGCCGTTTGGGAACCGTTCCTCTTCCGGAATATATCGCCTGTCTGAAGTGTTTCAAAATTCCAGAGGGGGTTCCGCACATCCACAGAGCTAGCGTGGTTTAAGTTGTTAAAGTGTCTGACTAGGATTTGGGAGACCTGGCTTTGAATCCCCACTCTGGTATGGAAGCTCGCTGGGTGACCTTGGGCCAGTCACGCATTCTCAGCCTAACCTACCTCACAGGGTTGCTGTGAGCGTAAAATGGAGGAGCGAAGAATGATGTAAGACTCTTTGGGTCTGCTTTGGGGAGAAAGGCGGGATATATGTAAATAATATTTATGATTTAGTTAAATTGGTTATTGTTAGGGTTGCCAGGTCCCCCAGCAGGTGATGGGGGTGGGGTAGGGTTGCCAGATCCAGGTTGGGAAACTCCTGGAGATTTGGGGATGGATGTCACGTCCTGGACGCAGTCACTCTCATGACATTCTTGTTGCAGCAAGATTTGTTTATTGGGAGGCAAAGACATTCCAGGCACAGACTGATTCTGTGTCAGATCTGGCCACCAGATGCCAGGTCCGACCCTATGCAAAAGGCCGGACAGCCCCTCTATGCAAACCACCCAGTCAGTGTTCTCACTCAGCCCACCAAAGCTCTAGGGCTACCCTCAGGGTGGGCCCAACACCTGCAAACTAACAGTTACATCCCAAGGTCAGGCGAGCAGCTAAAATCATGCGCTTCCCAGGGTCCTGTATGTACATTCACCCCAGTATTCATCCCCCCCCCATCCTGGCAGAGAAGATAAACGACATGGGAGATAAAACAGTGAAAGATGCACATTTAAGAAAGCAGTTAACCCCTAATGCAACAGACCAGGAGGAGGAGAGGAGAGAAGATTGGATTTATACCCCCCCCTTCACTACCCAAAGGTGTCTCAGAGCTGCTTCCTTTCCCTTCCCCTCCCCACAACAGACACCCTGTCAGGTAGGCAGGGCTGAGAGAGCTCTGAGAGAAACTGCTCTTTTTCAAGGACAGCTGTGTCAGAGTTATGGCTTGCCCAAGGTCATCCAGCCGCTGCAAGTGGAGGAGAGCGGAATCAAACCCGGTTCTCCCAGATTAGAGTCCGCGCACTTAACCACTACACCAAACTGGCTCTGGAGTTTGCCTGGACAGCATTTTATGGCAAGCGAGGCCCGAGCTCAACAATGGAGCCTGGGGAGGACAGAGACCTCGGTGGGGTACGATGCTTTAGAGTCCGCCCTCCATTTTCTCCAGGGGAACTGATCTCTTTAGCCTGGAGATGAGCTGTAATCCCGGGGGATCCCCAGGTCCCACATGCAGGCTGGCATCCCTAGCTCTTGTGCTAACAGCGCCTTGGTTTAGTTTTTTGTCATTCCTCCTGCAAAAAAAAAGGAGAGATGGGATAATAAATAAAAATCGCCTTGCATTCAGTCTGCTTCCGTGAGCCTGTACCCCGAGCGGCCAATTATAGCAAGCGCTGTGAATGCCGGACTCAGTATCAGCCGTTGGCCGGCTCTCAAACCTCCCGCTGCACATAAAGTGAAGTCTAGCCTTCGTTAGCGATTGCTCTGCCATGCTGAAAATGCCTCTGGGCAGAATAACGCGCGGAGATGAAACGGCCACTGTTTCTTGTCCTCTTACGCGCTGCTCGCAGACAAAGTCCACAGGGCCCAGCCGGGTTGTAGGAAATGCGAGCGGAGAATACTCTGGTTCATGTACGGTTCTTGGCAAGAGAGCTGCCTTCTCCTCTGCGCCCCGTGCCAGCAGGAGCACAAAATGTTGCTGGGTTGTTTCTTGGCTCGTCGTCAAAAACACTCACGGCTGGTCCCAGACACAGCTTTATGTTGTCGGAACACAGAGGAAGTCTGATAAATGTGCAGTGTGTCCTCGCCTGCTTGGCCCGTCGCAAAAGGTAGAGAGAGAGAGATGTTCCAGAGGGAGTCCAAGGGAGCCTGGCTTTTCAGAGAGTGCTGCTTCTCTTTTACACAAGGAGGAAACCAGAGGTCTGTGTTACAAGGGAAGCAGGCGGGCTGATTTCCATGTCTGCTTTCTACTACCAACCTCAAATATTGAAATCAGAGTTCTATGCAAGGTTACTTTGTTTTATTATTTTGTCGGGGTGCCAAGTGCACAGAGTCACACCTGTAGATCTC